ACCCCCACTGCACACATACTCCCCAACTGTTTGAGTACCAGAGGCACACCCTTGGTCATTACCCTTCGGTCACTGAAGAGATGAGCACCTTGCCTTTTCTGACCTGACACCTCTACTGCTTTCCCTCTTTACTCTTAGGTTAAGGTATCCATGCAGACCACCCATCCTTTGGTCTCTATACAATGCTCTTCTTCACCTCACTGATTTTAACTCAGACCTTAGATCTCGATTGTAAACATGTCACATCTATTTTTGTCTTATGTGTATGACTGCCATACCTGCATGTAAGCATCTGTGCGCGCGCGTGCGCGCACACACACACACACACACACACACACACACACACACACAAAATCACAGAGTATAATTTGTGCTGGTTAACAACTGCTAGGCAGGGGCTCATTCAGTTAATCCCTCTCTCTTATAATCCCCTACCTTGACTCGTCACAGTAGCACTCATCTGGCAAAACCGCCCATCTAGTAAACCCAATTCTTTGTATCATTCTATAACATTTACCAAGCAGCTAAATAAGACGAGAGGAAACATACACCCATACTAGTTGTTTTTATACTAAGTTCATGACCACAAACCTCAAAGTGGGTCTTGGGTGCTGCCCGGCAATCATGCTTTCCACTTTACAGTGAAAGGCTCTGAAGGGGGGCTGCCATGGCTCTGCCCCTTCCCGACTGTCTCTCTCTCTTTTTTTTTTTTTTTGGTTTTTCGAGACAGGGTTTCTCTGTGTAGCCCTGGCTGTCCTGGAGCTCACTCTGTAGACCAGGCTAGCCTCGAACTCTCGGACTTAGAAATCCGCCTGCCTCTGCCTCCCAAGTGCTGGGAATAAAGGAGTGTGCCACCACCGCCCGGCTCCCGACTGTTTCTTGATGCTCTCTGATCAAGTTTTCCTTCTCACCACCCTCCCCAGTGTCTGCTGTAAGTGACCAATCATCTGAGAGAGAGCATTTGATGTGTTGCTTAGTCCTTTCTGTTGCAAGCACTTTCTTTGGAAGGCCTCTATGTTCACGTCTCTCCCGTCTTGCTGCACTGCACTGTGCTTGTCCTAGTATCTCCTTGTATACCCACTTGCTTTAATGACTCCCCAGTGGGGAAAGGGATTTGCTATGTGATCAACTGCTCAGCTGAGTAGGTACCACAGCATTTGCTGAATGACTTTAAGATACACCGTAGTAACTCACTGTCTCAAAGAGGTAAGATTTTAATAGCCACATCATACACTTCAGTAACTAAATTGTATTATCATCAGGAAGCCTCCATTTCTCAATATGATAAGTATATGGAAACTAAAAATTTTTGGAAATTGAACGGTAGGACATAAAACTAGAAGGAATTATACTTATGATGACTGACTTGGGCTGCTCGAAGCACTGTACTCAAATGGGACTGCTGCTAAGCCAGTTTCAGAAGGAAAGAGCCACAGACTATGGGACACTTCCAAGGAGAAGGATGGAGTGGTGTGGTGGCACTGCTGCCAGCTGACCGCTAGACTGTGACTTTACACAGCTCTGTGTTAGCTGAGTGGTGACAGCAATCCTGGATCTACACACCCCCCTCCTACTGGGAGCCTGCACATGAGTGCATAACGTAGCATCTCAGACCAACACTGAGCAGAACACAGCTATTCATCTATAGCCTTCAAAAGGGAGGGAAAGCACCACTCCTGTTCCAGTCTTCCCAGTGACAACTCCATCCATCCCAGGAAAGAGCTATAGGCATTGCCATGGTTCCCGTTCACTCAGCCCTGACCCACACATCCATAGCCATGAGCAAAGCTCTTAAGTTCTACCCCATTTTCTGTTTTTTTGTTTTTATTTTTTTTCAGGTCTCTCCATTGCTTGATTGGACCTAGCTACTATAGCCTCTCCCTGGTCCGTTATGGAATCTTTCAGATGTTCTACTTGTTTATACTTGTGCCCCTTGTAACCTGGGTTAAATAGCTTCTTTCTTTTTATCTTTCTTCCTTTTTTAAAAATTTTTACTCAATTAACTTATGTATTAGAGTCAGGATCTCACTATATAGCTCTGTGTAGCTTAGAACTTGCTATGTAAACCAAGCTGACCTCAAACTCACAGAGATCTGCTTGCCTCTGCCTCCCAAGTGCTGTGATTAAAGGTGCCACCATGCCCAGTTAAAAACTATTTTTTAAAAAAATCAAATCAGGAGGCTGGAAAGATGGCTTTGTGGTCAAAAGCACTTGTTGCTCAGTTCCCAGCACCCACCTGGTGGCTCACACTATCTTAAAATTCCAGTTTCAGTCCATCTGACGAGCTCTTTAGACCTTAACAAGGCACCAGGCACACATGCAGGTAAAACATAGTGCACAAACATACGGGTAGGTAAAACACTCACGCACATAAAGTAAAATAAATTTTAAAAATACAAATTAGGGTAGGAGGATACAGATGGGTGGCGGGTGCCTGGCAAGCATGCCTAGGCTTTGGCTTGGTCCCCAGCACCACAAACAAAATATAGAGAGCAAGGGTCACTCTATGATTTCCCACTGCACTTGAAATTAAATCCGACCTCCAAGTCCTATAATTTTCCCTGGTGTCTTTCCTCAACTTCATCTCAAACCACTCTTCTCCTCCTCCCTGTGCTTTGGCCATGCTGGCCCCCTTTAGGACAGTTGGGATTTGTTTGTTTGTTTGTTTTCGTTTGAACTGGTCCTTATGCTACAAAGCTTTCCGTGACTAATAGGGAGTTAGGTCTGCACCCTTCCCTTATCATTCAGTCTCAGCTAACATCTCAGTGACCAGCATCAAATCCTACCTTAGCTCTGCACAATATAAATAATATTAGAGTGTCTAACTTAGTGATTTCATTGTATCCCATATGGTAAGATAAAAATCAAAATAGTAGGGACCTCAGGGCCAATAAAAGAAGCTACTTGTTGAAGATGGTATATAAAGATTGTTTTAAAAATATATCAGACATCATGGCAAGATAAGCTCATTGTGTGCATATGAATTCATCTATTATTTATTTTTTGTTTTTATAACAAATAAGAAGATAAAAAGAAAAAAAATCCAGGTTGGAAGTAGAAAATATAACTCTTTAGGGTGAAAAAGCCTAAGTTCTTCCAACTCAAATCTGACGTGTGCCAATTCCTTTGTCAGGAGAACCATACAGTCACTTTACAATAGCAGGACACCGATTTGCCCCACAGAGCTACAGAGACACAAAAGCGGGCGCTGGACAGAGGGCTAAACACTTTGGAAGGGGCTTTGGTAAAAGGTGGTACCGGGAAGAACGCCACACAGCTTAGAGGGCAAGTCAGGAAATGTTCCCTGAAGGGGTGCTACTAGGATGGGAAGGATGTAGAGTTGGGGTACACATGTCTATAGGGCTGAGAGAAAGGGTGCAGGAAGAGTTGAGAGAGGAGACATGGACGGGAATGCAGGGGCTCATAGCATATTTAGGAAACTGAAAAGAAATGACCCACTGTAGAAGACAGAGATTGGAGGTGGGCAGGGGAGAGGGAGGGAGGGGGAGGTAACGGAATTAACAATATCAGGAAGTCTCATTAAGGATTTTGAATTTTATTCTGAGAAAAAGAGTCAGAGAAGGATAACTACAGTATATCACATAATCCACATCAAAGAAATGTCACTGCCACATGACAAGTCTAGAAGAAGACAGAGAGGACAAAGAGGCTATCACACCAAACCACAACAGCAGGGCAGAATTCTGGTGACAACAAGCGGAGACAGAGCAAAGGGAATACTAGGATCATACTCTTAAAGAACCATTAGGAACACCTAAGACTATAATACACAACACAACAAAGTGCCATTCAATGGGGGCTATAGAGATGGCTCAATGGTTAAGAGCACTGACTGCTCTTCCTCAGGTCCTGAGTTCAATTCCCATCAACTACATGGTGGCTCACAACCATCTGTAATGGAATCCAATGCCCTCTTCTGGTGTGTCTGAAGACAGCAATGGTGTACTCAGATACATAAAATAAATAAATCTTAAAAAAAAGAAAAAAAACACCCACAGCAAGACAGGTAGTCACAGAAGTGAGCAAGTCTGTCAGGAGATGGTCACATCCAAGCTAGTTAAAGGGAGTGTGGTAAGACCTCCAAATGAGGAGATGGCATCGTGACCTTTAGAGAGGCTTCCAAACACCACCTGGTTCCTTGTGCAAATAGTTACAGAATAATCTGCATATTTAAAATACATGTCTATTTTTAGGGCAGAAACTGAAAAGCAACCACTTCTAACTTTAGCACTGCAACTCCATGGCAATCTATTCCATCTATCCTAGTCAACACTGAGTTAGAAAGTCTTACGATCTTACTTCTCATCAGCGTTCATCTCACTACAAAAGCTTCTACAGACAGCAGAGATACGGAGAATGATAATACTCTAAGACGCATTATGCAAATTTTAAAATAATCAAATGTAGCAAGATAAATGAACATAACTCTAGTTTTTAAAATAAAACTGAAGCCAACAATAAAGGGTGTTTTAGGACAAAGGATTGTAGATGATAATAATATTAACTACACAGCGCACTGCAGCAAGCACTCACTGCAGATGGACGTCCCGACACAGTCTTCATAAGGTACTAGCTCCAAAAGAAAAGAACAATGAAACAGCAGAGTTCAAGATGGGTCTGGCAGGGGCAACGCGGACACTAGCGATTGACACTGTCAGATCTAGATATAAGCTATAATATTCTAGTTAATGCAGTTTACGTTGCCAAGATCTTATTCTACAGATAGAGTGTATGGTTTGAGATCTGAATTATGATCAATGACTTAAATGTCAAAAATCAAAAAGAAATGTTAAAACTCCAGGCAAAGTATCAATGGGAAATGCACAAAAGTGTGAGATGTAAAGAGAACCTGGATAGGAATTGTTTTAAAGAGCAAAGGGAAACCCTCATGATAATCTGCACTGAAGGTCTCCAGCCATTAGTTCTGTTGTTGCCTCCCTCTCACTTAGTACCAGAGAGTAGCAGTCTGGACCACTTACCTTACAACTATAAGAATGGCTATAAGAATCGAACAGATAGGATCTGCTATCATCAACCCAAAATTTTGCATCATGATGGCAGAGGCAATTACACCAATACTCCCAAGTGTATCTGCGAGAATGTGTAAAAATACACCTAGAAAGCAAGCAAAGGAGAGGTTAGAACAGTAAAGTAGGAACTTTAGGACTATACTCCTATACCCAAATTTTCATACATATCAAAGAAAAAAATCAGTGAGGAGGAGTACTGACTACTTAGTAACTGTGTAGGAGAGTATTTATGAACTGACATAACTGTTTTCATACTGACATGTTTAAACATCTAACTGGTAGATTATTCTTGAACTTAATAAAACAATAAAAGTGAAGGAGTAGAGAAAATTAACTTTAAATGACGTTTATGAACATTCACCTTTACTTTCTAAAAAGGTTAAAAATTTGTTCTGGTAAGAAAAGGGAATCAGGTTTTTTTTTAACAAAAATAAATTAAAAAACAGCTAAGAGAGCATTTTAATTGTGAATACATGTACACATAGAGCCCTCTGCTGGTGATTAAAAATATTGCTTTAGGATGAAAATTTTATATGGACCCTAACTCTGCTTAACCTGACATTAATTATCCAAAACATTCCACTACCTAAATTCGTTACTTTGCTCAAATTCACCAAGCAAAAAGGCAGTTACCTGACTACAATGAGAAAAATACATGTTGAACCTTTGAATTTCAGTACTCAGTAGGACACTGGTTCATTGCTTAAGAACTCAAACACTGTTAAGATTAATAAGTGACATTTGCCTCGAAAACCATAAGAATCTCAAGAAATAAATTATATATGCAATTCTTTTTGAAACTACCTAAGACAGTAACTCACTCAACATGTACATCTTTAATGAATAAAATTTATCACACAACAAAACAGGCTATAAATATCAATAAAAACAAAAACAAAGAAAAACCATAGACATTGGTCTTCAGCACGACAACTGCTCTACATGGAACTGGTTAAGACAGCAGACATGCGAGCAGCTTAGAAATTCATGTCACATTCCCTGAACAATAAAAGGTAAATGTGTGCCAACTAAAACTGAAGGAAACTTTGTAGCAGCTTAAAGTTTGAACACTACTGTCACTTTAAATCTTAACGTTTGCTGGGAAAAGACAGTTCAGCTGCCACTGTGTAATTCACAGCAGGCTGCAGCATCAACACTCAGGCCTTTCACCTTCTATTCCTTTTCAATCTGTGCAGACCACTCGGCAGAATGTTTTACATTTGCATGTGGATGTGTGTGTAAATGTATGTGCAGACGGCAGCACATGTGCAGAGGACGTGGGACAACTTGTGGGCCTTGGTTCACTCCTTCCACTGTGTGGAGCCTAAAGACTGAACTCAGGCTGTCGGGCTTGGCTATATACCCTTGTCCAGGTACCTCAGGAGCCTGGAGTTGTTCTATAACAATGTTATTGTTTGGGAAGATAAAAATGATATGTATATTTCTACTGGTAAATGCTTCCAAATAACCAGCTTCTCTACGGTACTTTAAATACCAAAGAATAAAATACATATGTATCAAAACCACTTTAGTTTCAAAAACTAAAAGATGAAAAAGATGGATTTAGATCAATACAATTGAAAATCCCTACATTACAAACTCTTAAATGTAATAACACAGTTTTAAGCTTTTATATTCTCCAATCAGTGTTTGGTAGGAACAGAAATAAAAATATTTCTGAAAAATGAAAAAGGGGAGAGGGGAATAATTTGTTCTTCATTTTCCTGACGCTGGAAAGTCCCTGCCTACATGTAATCCTAGCCAGAAAGTGGGTTTTATTAGCATACAGAATTACTATTTTTTTTTCAGAATTACTATTTTATAGTAACTATTCATGAAGAAATTCACTAAAGAAATATATAAAGTATGTTTAACTCACATACCAATGAAACCCTACAACATGTGTAATACACCAATGGTGTAACACATGTAAAATCTGGCACACTAACTGAAGATGTGCAGACAATTGAAAACTGCCCCTGCTCAAGGGGCTCATGTGTGAGTGTTGGTAGAGCTCTTGGGTAGGACAGCTTTTATATCAGACAGTAACATTTGCCCTCAGCTTCCTCCAGGCCTTCCTGAGACTAACAAACTCGTATATTTCAGAAATATGAAATTGTTTTCATAATAGTTTGCACAAAAGATAATAAAAGGCTACATCAAGCTTTTATTCCTGCCATTTATGATGATTTTTCATAACTAAATATAAATTACTATCAAAGTCAATGATAGCACTTGATACGGCTGCATCAAAAATGTACAAAGACTCTTTTTAAAAGCAATGCCATATATTTTGCAAATGGAAAACTGGTGACAGAAGGCAGCCTAAGCCTTCAGTATAATAATCTTTTCAGTAATGAAGAAGCACAAAAAGCAAGAACTCAACCTAGAAGTAATAGAGAAAAACACATGCAGGAGAGGCTGGATCTGAAGCCACTGAGAAAACCAGACCAAAGTCGGTTTAAAAAAGCCAGCAGCAGGGAGATGAGAACCTATAAGCCTTGACAATACAGTCCAGGGGAAACTCAGAAAGAATGGTTTACAACCTAAAGGAAAGTACCAGAGTTCATACAGACCGGTTTTCTCTAACTGATGTCCCTTGTGTAACACTAAGCGTCTGTTTAGGTATCAATAATTGGTGCTTTCACTGGATTTCACTCTTAGCTCTAAATTTTCCTACAATTTAAGAACATTCTGAATGTTATTCTTGGAAAAACTAGGGAAGCAAACACACCACCTGGAGTCACTGGAGCCAGGCCTAGGACTTACCTTTAGAAGAGTTTTTCAATTTCTTATATTTTTAAAATTAGATCTGAGAAAACAGCCAAGTGACGAAATACCGCTAATATACTGAACCTGCGCATGTGTGTGTGAGTGAGTGCATGTGTGTGAGTCCGCATGTGTGTGAGAGTGCATGTGTGTGTGAGTGCACATGTGTGTGTGAGTGAGTGCATGTGTGTGTATGTGTGAGTGCGCATGTGTGTGTGAGTGCATGTGTGAGTGAGTGCATGTGTGTGTGAGTGCATGTTGAGTGAGTGTATGTGTGTGTGTGAGTGCACATGTGTGTGTGAGTGAGTGCATTTGTGAGTGAGTGAGTGCATGTGTGTGTGAGTGAGTGCATGTGTGTGTGTGCATTTACTAGGAATGGTAACACAATATTATTACCATGTACTAATTTTTCTTAAAGGAGAACTCCAGGCAACCGAGAACCATGAAGTCAGCTTCATGAAATCAAGAACCCCACAACTTCTTGTCATACCTTGTAAAATCTGTCTGCTGGGTCCTGCCGTTGTTTTGAAGGATGGACCATCTGTAGAGAATTAGTTAAGTTATTTTAAAACATCTTTTCAATTCCTGATCCAAATGTTTGCAATTCAGAGTCATTTTTGCCCAACTGTCTGATGGAAGTATGAGCATACAGTCATATTAGATTTACAAAATTATTTTTTAAATTTAATCAAGTAATTAAATATAGGTGAATTTAGTGAGGGCAATTTGGAAATGTAACAAGGGTATAGAATATTCTATAAATTATTGTACTAGAAATAAAAATCACATGAAATTCAAAAATATTATGAAAATCTACCAATATTGTGCTAATGTAATACCTTCTCATACTTTCACAATTGGAAACCTCACAGAGAATGAAATTACTACTTGGAGTTTGACAAGGTCCATGAATGAAAGCTGGGACTGATAGCAGGTATCTGTGGAAGAGTAGCTTTCAGAGACTACCTGCCTGTGCCACTTTCTACAAAGACAGCCACTTTACTAAAATCCTGCCTTTTATTGTGTGAACTACCCGAAGCATTTTCCATTGTCCACAAGGGCGAAAGCAAAGTTATTGCCAGGGATGTGCCCTGGAATCTCAAAGAACAGAAAGGCTGTGTGTATCAAAGGCCTGCTAGTGAGCTGCAAAGGATTTTAGCTGAGCTGTCAATAAGCAAACACTAACTATGACAGTACACTTGTTCACTGATAACTTACTTTGTGGGAAAGACGGAGAGGAAAGTGGATGACATATTGACATAATCTCATGTCCTGCCAAGCAACATACAAAAAAAATAAATTTTAGATCAGTCGCATGTTCAGCAGGTTAATGTGTGTGTGTGTGTGGAGGGGAGTCCATTCTCTTAATAAAATTCCTTTTGGAGAATGCAAATAAAATTTTCTTTATGATGAAAAGAAAAAGTACTATAATCTCTATACTTAACTGTGTCAGAGACTATTAACTAGTTTTGCAATGAAACAAAAACCTAAGTGGCAAAAGGTGGGCAGCATTTGTTTAAAAGAATCAGCGGAGACCAGACAAGCTCTGTGAGTGAGGACTCACTAGCTGAAGGCTGACACACGCCTGAGCACTGCAGCAGTGGACCACACTGGCAGAGTGTAGGACACAGCACAGTGCTGTCGAGGTCTGGCTCCATGACACCCTCCTAAAAGATGCAGCCACCACAGAAAGCCTGCTGACTGTCCAAAGTAGAGCCAGTATAGAATTCTAGCTCCTGAGCAAATCACTAAGCTTCTGCATGTATGAAGTATACAGAAAAGTCATTTTTAACATCAGTATTTTGAAAGGGATAACTGACAAAAACTAACTCCAATTAAAGTTAACTATAAACGTCCTCTTGGTATAGGATATCTGTGGCAGAAGCTGGCTTGCTAACTGTTCTCTAAACTTGTTTCTTCTGCCTTCTGAGTCTACAACTTAACTTTTCCCTTTAGGCTGTGCTGTGGGGAGTTGTAGATAAAGATGTACAGATCTAAATCTCTTCCAGGTGCACGAGAATGTCTACGTGGGAACTGAAGAGGAGCCTCTAGGCTCCTGCCTTCTGCACGACTGGCTTAAGAGTTAAAAACAACACAGCCCCTCTTAGTGTTGCATTCCAGGAACTACAAAGCTCAGTGAGATGCAGAAGGGTCGTGGGCAAAATAAAGCCAAGGGACATTTTCTTACATCTCCCATTGTATAATCTAATGGTTGAACCTCAGCTGCTTTACAGTCTCTCATTTGTTTGTGTGTCTGCATACACGTGCGTGCACGCACTCACATACATGGAAGTGAGAAGACAGCCTAAGGGATTGTTCTCTTTTTTCACCATGTGGGATCTGAAGATCAAACATCAGACTGCAAGCATCCCTTAAATACTGAGCCATCTCACTGGTCCAAAATCCTAGCTTTTTAATTTATTATTTACTATGATTTGTTTGTGCCTCAGTGAATGAGGACAGGAGTTCTATCTGCTTCAACAGACTATGTGAAAATTATAAAAGCTAACACATATAAACTTCTTAGCAGATTGTTTGGTACATACTGAGCACTCAGGATAATAATTGCAATGCCATAAATATTAATTGAACTCCCACAAAATGAACATGAGCAACTTTTAAAGTTTTTCTCAATCTTCCAAAATGTATATTTTTATTAAAGCCTAAACACAAAATGACTTTTCTAGTAAATTAGGTTAAAAAAAATCTCTTTAATCTTATTAACCTTAGCACTTGGGAGGCTGAGAGAGAACTGCCATGACTTGGAAGGCAGCCTGGGCTATGTAGTGAGTTCTGGGCAACCTGCACTCCAGAGTGAGACCCTGTCTATAAAAACAAAACAGAAAAAAAGAAATAAACAAAACAAAAAACCTTTAAATTAGAAATATATTTCAAGTAAAATACTGCCTTTTGACAGGTCATCATTAACAAAATTTGAGACAAAACTACTTTAATTGACTTTTTCCTTAATGACTGTAATAATTCTGGTTAAAAGTAAACTCTGAATGTGAAGTATTAAGTTCATAGAGAAGAATAGACTTATATTTATAGCACGCTTATTCACTGATTTATACATCATCTTTGTATGTGATATGTCTACACATTATATACGTGTGTGTGAGGCCTGAGGTGGGCATCCTGACTTCTTCCATCCTCCCTTCTTGAGGCAAGGTTTCTCACTGACCTTGAAGCCTATCTACCCAGCTAGAGTCCAGTGCTTCTCAACCTGTGTGTCAGGACCACTTTAGAGGTGGCAGAGCAGATATCTTGCATATCAGACATTTAATTCATGACAATAGCAAAACTAGTTATGAAGTAACAATGAAATAATTTTATGATTGGGTCACCACAATATGAAGAACTGTATTAAAGGGTCCCAGCATTAGGAAGGAAAGTCATAAACCATTGAGCTAGACTGTCTGCTAACAAGCTTTAGGGATTCATCCGTGTCTACTCACCCAGGGGTGGAGTTCCAGGAGAACACCACCACCTCCTGCCTCCCAGCTCCTGATGTGGGCACTGAGGACCAAACTCGGGTCTGTGTGCCTGCAGTAGGCCCTTAACAGACTAACCTGTCTCTCCAGCCCAATGTTCATAGCTTATTGCTAAGATGCAGGATATGCAACCAGTTAGGACTGTATATAAGTACACTCCATTAACAAGAAATTCTAGAAATGAGGTGAAATGGAGAAAATAAGGGAAATCTGATGATGTGCGCTTTATAATTTTCTATGGGTCTGAGAGGTGAGCATCAAATCATTAAGGCAGTGAATCCACTGAGTGTATTTGCTTCAGTTCCTGCACCAGGTTCCTGCCTTGACTTCCCTTGCTGATGGACTGTCACCTATAAGGTAAAGGAAACCCTTTCCTTCCCAGATTGCTTTTGGCCATGGTCTTTATCACAGCTGCAGAAAACAAGCTAAGATATACTTGGGGCTTAATCCTGTCCAGGGAGGATTGCAGAAGTATTTGGAACTCTGGTCTATAAGGCCTGCTCAGTGCTCATCTTAAGTTGTTACAGGAGCTTAGAAGATAAGACTGACCTGGGCAGTGCAGATGCTGGAGGTCTGGCTTGTGAAATTTTAGTGGAAACTACAAACTATTGGGCTCATTCATGTGATATTTTCAATTAAAAATCTGTGGAGCTGAAATTATTGTTTTACCAGGACAACTGATGCTGGTTATCTAGGGCTGAAGAATCAGCTTTGAGAAAGAAAAGACCATCATCAGAGATGAAATCTTCTGGGAAGTGTTTGGTCAGGAACAGGATTCAGATCCTGTGGCCTGGAGCAGGCCAAGGCTGTATCGAAAGCTGGCAGGCAACCCTGGTTATGTGTAAGTCTCTCACACAGTACTGATTTGAGTGACATAAAAGCTACAGGACTGAATGGACAATGATGACAGCTTTAGGTTGGCCCTGTCGAGGGCAAGAGGGACCACTGATGAAGGCATATCCTTAGTTTTGTGGAGACCTAAGGATTTAACAGGAGTATGGGATGAAGCCAAGGCTTGGCATCATGTGGCAGAGCTATAGTCTCTGAAGAGAGACCATTTGGCCATTGGAGAAGGTACAACATCAGTTCCAGTAGAGACCTCAACAGATTGGAGATGTCAGGACCATGGGACACCTGACAATGACAGTAAGGTAAGAAGAGGAGCCGGCTGAGCCTACGAGACAAGCTGTGTGCTACGGATGAGAAGCTGGAGAAGTGGCTACCTGACCCCGGAAGATCCTAAGCCTCAGACAGCAGGCATTAGCTACGAGACTTGGAATTAAAGTGTAGGCTTGGGTTTCCTTCTAAAGTTGTTTCTGGTCAGTTGTTTTTATTACAACAGAAAGCAAACTAGGACAATGTTCAATAGAATCATGCAGAAGTTCTATCCTAAAATATTATTTATAAGAAGACATTTGGAAACCCGTCAGTAAGGAGGCAGAGACAAAATTGTATCAGCCTGGAGTTATGTCATGAGTTCCAGGCCAGCCAGGGCCACATACTGAGATCCTATCTCAAAAAGCCAAATCAAGTTAGTAAATTGTTTAATTAATTAAAGTATTATGTGCCAGAAATCATATTCTTTGCAATAAGATTTCAGAAATTATTTTATAAATTTGTGAGAGATAAGAAATTTTTCAAAATTATTTTAGTATAATGTATGTGAGCCAAAATGTTGAAAAATCAAGGTCTTTAGATCTACCAGTGTAACTCTTTCAAAACATCGCATATTAGATTAAAAGAGGTCATAGAAACTGACTGATAGGATTACTGCACCAAACTAGAAAGCCTCTCTGCACAGCCAGGGAAAAACCAACAAAAAGAAACAGCAATCCTAGGAATGTGGAACATTCCTAAAAAACTATATGTCTGAGTGTTAATACCTAAAATATATGAAGAACTCAAACAATGCAAAGGAAAAATTCTGTCAGACTGAAAGTGCTCTGTGGGTATACAAAAAAAAAAAAAAATTAACTCCAGTACTAAGCAGGGAAATCAAATCAAAATTCAAGGATATTTTTAGGAAGACTCATAGCTAGTATATATTTTTTAAAAAAGTACTGGCAAGCATATAGAGAAAAGGGAATCCGTGTACACTATTAGTAGGAATGCAAACGGGCGCAACCACTACGAGAGTAGTCTGTGTTTCTTCAGCAATGAACACAGAGCTACAGCACAAGCACCAGCATCAGTTCGAGGCACACAACCAGCAGAGCTGAAACCCAGATCCCAGCATCCAGGTGCACTTCCACTCACTGCAGCACATCCCACACTCAAGACATGGAAGCAACCTAAATGTCCCCGATGGATCAACGGGGCCCTGCTTCCTTATAAAAGGGAAAGCTGCAATTTAGGACAACAAGGATAAATTTGGAAGACTTGTGAAATGAGTAAACAGAATGACAAAGACCAGATACCACTCATATGAGGACACTGACAGAGTCAAGGACATAGACATAGATAGGAGGCTGGCACTTTCCAGGTGCTGGAGGTTGGAGAGGTAGTTGTCACAGGACACAGGTTCAGTTATACTACTTATGCACAAGGCCGAGAGAGCTGAACGACACTGGAGCACTTACAGCTAACAGGACTGGACACTTGAGGTTGCCAGGAGGGTAGGTTTATGCTGGGCTCACATCTAAATGAATGAACAGGTGATAAAGAGGTGGGAGGAAACATCTGTCGGGTAAACTAACCCAAGACCAGGCATAACCAATTAATGTGGAGAACATTTTCTTTACCAATCATGTTTCAATACGCAATTTAGAAACTTTGAAGATTGCAAAATTGGTCCTTAGAATATTCAATCTTCAAGGCTCTTCTCATTGTTTTCATATCCAAAGCTTTAATGTTCTGTCAAAATACCAAGTACTGGTAAACATCTAAGTGCATAATTTATTCAAGGTGTGGTCAGATTGTATTACCTAAGCAGTTGTATTAATCTGTACTAGGAAAGTGTGAATAAATCATCTGAAATAAAATACGTTGATAAATACTTTATAACTTAGTATCTACTACAATTACAGAAAGATTTCTGAAGAAATCTTTAGGTATTAGGCCATCAGTATAAACAGTTACAACAAAAATTGAAAAATTTCTAGAATTTTCATAATGTATATTATAAAAGGCCTTGTCTGACTTAAAATAATTATAATTTTCATTTGCTAAGCTTCAATTGTTTCTCTTTCATACAATCAAAATCCTAGCACTTTCTTATTATACTCACTGAAGAAAGAAAAGAAAAAAGGTCATCCATTGTCTTACTTTCATGTTATAGTACAAAAAAGAAGCTAACCCTGGAAACCAGCTTGACAGACTCACTAGAAGCTAAATACGAGTCCTCTCAGCAGAACACTCTAGCTAGTAAAGTTATTTCACACCTTGTTTGGGAGACTAGCCCTCCGCAGATGCTCCAGCGGCACTTACCGTGGGAATGCAAGTGCCCATGTCCATGAGCATGGTCATGGTCATGGCTGTGTGCAGCTCCATGTTTGGCTTCGTGACTATGGCAATGATCTTCGTGGCCATGGCTGTGATCTAGAGCACCATTAAAGAGGGAATGACTGTGTCCATGGCCTAGAAGAAAAGAATATTTGAACAGAAGACACGTAAAAATACATAACTGATTACAATAATACTAGTTAGAAGAATCCTGTCTCCAGACTCACTGCAGCAAACACTTGTTTCTAAATAAGCACTGCCATTGCACTCAAACTGAGTTCCTACCATGGAGCACGGGAATAAACTCTGAAGGCCAGAAAAGGCAAATCCAGCAGGATCTACAGGAGACCTGCTCCTGATGGCCTTCCAGTAGGCTGCAAAGAGCTCAGCCAAAGTGAAAAAGTCACAAAGATATAGAAAAAACAAGCAATAAAGCAACCATGTCAGAGCTCTGGCAATCAGTCAGAGCCAAAGAATGCAGGAAGGTCATCATCTAAGGCAGCTACTAGGCTTTGTTAAAGGAACACAGTCTTCCTCCCCAGCCCAGGAGCCAAACAACCCAAAACCACCAAGCTGTAGATAACAGAGAGATCAGGTTGCTTTCAGTGCGCTGCTAAAGCACCAAGTTCTGGTTAGTCCGAATTTTGTTCAGCAGTGCGATTCACGGGCACACACTCCAGTCTCCCAGACTGAGAGCTCAACTGAGCTCCAGGCACCAAGACAGCAGTGGGAAACCCCAGCAGTGAATAAGCTGCTGCCACTGAGAGTTCTAGGAACCTCAGGAAAACCTCAGAGAGACAGATTCCATGGGGAACTCTGAAAAGCAGCAACACACTCCTAAGAACCTAAAAGGGTGTGCACAGGTTGTATACACGCCTAAGAAACACCTGAAAAACAAGAAACTGCCATCCATTTTTAATTGACCCTGAGCAAGCAGGAAATCAAAGTTAAGACTGCCTCATAAACTAGGAGGCAGACTTGGAGGATATACTTTCTCACAAAGATCCCTTTACCAAAAGAGGGAGATTTACAAGCAAGTTACTTAAGGAACTTGACAAAACTCTGAGTGACTACTATGTGTGCCCACTAGGAAGACAGAATAAAAACAAAAGAAAAACTTTAAAGTAAAAACTATGAGACAACTCAATAGCCACATGCTACTGCTACAAGAAGCATGTAATCTGCCGAGTGGTCCAGGAACGACTGAAAGAAATAACACAAGAACAAAATACCAGAACCAACTAACTTGAAAGGGGTGAGACAATCTGATTCCAGAGTTCTTAAAATAAGTGTCCATCTCTCACCCAGGAACTAGTCAGCTGACTGAAGATACTTCTGAAAAGTCTCAGAGACAGACTTAGTAGGCAGATTTTGACCAGCTATTATAAATACATTCAATGAGCAAAAAGAAACTGGGTCTAAAGACTCACTATAGTAAGTCACTAACAGTAACATCATAGAAATTATAAAACCAGATGTAGTAGCTCATGCCTACAATTAAGTATTCAGGGGGCTGAGGCAATCAAAAGTCAAGCATAGGCTATAAAGCAAGGCCTTGTCTCAAAAGAACAAAAATATATATGGAAGGGGTACAGAGAGAAGGGGAAAAATTAAATACCAAAGACTCTGGAATTAAAGGAAAATAAGGTACCCATTTCTAGGACTCAGTAAGAGTTCTGAGCTGTAGAACCTGAGGCCAATGTACAGACAGGTAAATAGAGACCACACTCTCAAAAGTAGGAGAAGGGAATGAAGAAAATGATTTACAGTCTCCAGAAAACAAGAGAAAGAGACAAGAGAAACAGGAGCCAATGGCTAAAAATTACAACAGTTTAATGACTATTATAGTCAAGAAATCTATCAAACTCCAAATAGAATGTGAAATTATATCAAACATCACAGTTGATGAAAGTCAGGCATGAGACAATCTTGAAGGTCAACTTTTTTTGCTTCATAGCTAATGTCCATCTGTAGTTCAGATACGAATAGAAATCTCAGATTCACAGAAAAGCCCTCAGGGAGACCAGACCAAGGTGGGTCCTCTCCTTGTTCCTGTCCCAGTTAACACCACTGTATTGCACCGAGAGCAGGACCCAGATGGATCTTCCAGACATCAGCAAAAGCCCAAGAACTGAGAATTTCACCATGCATCCTAGGTTGGCTCAGAAATAACACTCCTTCTGCCTCAGCCTCCTAATTCCTAGAATTATAATAGGTAGGACTCCTACTGTTTAGACATGATGTCAAGCGACTCAGGGTCTTAGCTGAATTCCTACATCACACATGAGCATGTGCAGACATGTGCAGAAGAAGGAGGAAGAGAGAGAGAAAGAGGAAGAAGAGGAAGAGGAGGAAGAAGAGGAAGAGGAGGAGGAAGAAGAGGAAGAGGAGGAGGAAGAGGAGGAGGAGGAGGAGGAGGAAGAAGAGGAAGAGGAAGAGGCGGCAAGCAAACAAGTGGAACAGCCAAGTTGATATACAAATAGAATGTTGGATGTTCTTCTACATGCCAAATAACACCTTTGTCAACATACGTGTCATAACATGTATACACACATACATATTAAATAAATAATTTTAAAATGAAATGAAAAGAAATCAAATGAAAGAAAGAAATCCTAGAGGCTAAAAGGCAAGGTAATTAGATAATTATTGAAATGGTAGTGGTAGGGTGCAGAAATCAAAAATTCTATAATCTACAGAACTCCCTTTAAAATAAAGGAGAAGGTGAAGCAATCCAGATAAACAAAACCTGCTCACTGAAAATAGTAAAGGACTCTGGAGGTAAATCAAAGGACACCAAGAGTAGTTTAACGCACACTAAGAAATAGAAACCAGGAAGATGAATACAAAGGCACAGAAAAGATAGTGACACAAGCCAGTTAGTGTGAAACTACACTGATGAGTTACAAACAGGCATTTCAATAATCATAAAAAAGAGGAAGAAAACAAAACTACAGTGGGTGAATTGTTGTATATTACTGAGTTAACTTACTAAGCATCTGAACTAGATGCCATTATCTCCAGGACATTCAAAGTTTTCTTAAGAAAATGACTGGAAGCAATATCTCAAAGTCACTCATTAGGAAAAATAACATATAAACAAATAGAAGAACAAACTAGGTTGCAAGAAACCATCGAATCAAAATGAAAGTACTAAAATAGAGGATTGGGTATCCATGGCCCTGGAAAAGGAAATCCCTGAAACAAGGGGAAAAATATACATACACCAAAAGAAAAAGAAAAAGAAAAAAAGAAAAGAAAAAAAAAGCAAGACAAAAATCAGACTATATTGTACTTTCATTTCTGTTGCTGTGACAAAAATACCCTGAAGACAGTGGAAAGTGAGTGCTGATGGACAGAAGAGGTTGCTTCAGCTTGCACTGCTAAGTTTCTGTCAAGAGGGGACTTCAAACAGCTATTCATATCACATTTCCAGGTGAGCTCACTTGCTTGCTGCTAAGCTCAGTTTCAGGACCCATTCTAGGGAATGGGGTCATCAGGTTAGGGTTAGTTACCTACACTGAGACAATCCCCCTCAGGCATGCCCCCACCTAATGTACACAGCTCTTTACTGAGACTGCCTTCCCAGGAGAATACAGATTGTGTCTGTGACAATTAATGTTAACCATCACAGACTAATCTCTACAGGGATTGATTCATATAAACACTTAAATACAAGCATCAACTCGGGAAAGATATTTACAGCACATAAAACAAAGGAAAGCAGCAATACTAAGTAATACTGCAACTTATAAATGGAGTGGGAAAAAAACAATAGAGAAACAGTTATTGTCTAGGAACACACTGACAGATCATTCAACCTCACTACTAACCAGAGACATGAAACGCAAAAGCCACCTGTTTCAAATGTGAGCAAAACCACTTTAATCTGTAATATCAAAGGTTGATGTGGGTTGGGGAGAAAATTAATACTTAGATTTATTTCTGGAAGTGAGTTGAATGACAGTCATTTTGGAGGGAAACTTGAAAACTAAAAACATGTATCCACTAAAACTATATGTATGTTTTATGAATTCTACTTATACATTAACACATTGAATTAAAAGAACTAAGTGTAGAGATGGAAATGGTGTAAATCTGAACTGTGCAATGAGGTAGCTTCATACGCTGTCTGATGTTAAAGGGTTTTGTTTTTTTTTTAGCTTTTATTTTGCTTTGTGATTGAGACAGTTTCTCTATTTGCACCCTAGATAGATTGGAATTCACTATGCAGAACAGGTAAGCCATTAATCCTCCTGCCTCTGTCTCCCAAGTACTGGAATTGTAGACATCCTGACTTCATACCATGGAGTTTTCTGTGCCCATTGACAATGTGAGTTCATTACAATAAAATGATTTCATAAATTAATAAAAGAAAAATGCAAGGTATTAGACCAACATATATCAATGGAAGGATCTTGGAAACACATTATATATAGTAAATTAAAAATACACACACTTTAATTTAATGACTAGCTTTGTGGTTTTCTGATGCCTGTCTTTTAATATGAACTAAATATTACATAAGGCAGAAGTCTAGAGAGATCCATACGAACATGATAGCAAGCACAAAAGCTCTGGAAGGCACTGGGATGGAGGACCATGGAGAAGTACAAGAGACGGCTCAAGAAGACATTTCTGAGATCTAGAAATCATACTTTTGTAACTTAAATTAAAATTATTAATTTTCTAGAGTATTTAATGATAGCAACATGCAAGATAGATGATAGATAGATAGATAGATAGATAGATAGATAGATAGAAAGAAGAAATGGTAACTGGCAAGGATATCTATCCCCAAGTCTAAAAACCTGAACTCTCCCAAGTTGTCCTCTGACATGCCTCTGTAGCGCATGTGGTCACGGTCACACACACAGACACAGACACACACACGCACATGCACACGCACACTAAATGTTAAAAAATGAAGAAACAAATAGTTCTAACCATCATACCAGAGCCATGAGAATGTCCGTGACCTCCATGATTGAAAACAAATATTCCTACTAGGTTTACCACAAATCCAAGAATTGAAACAAGCAGCAGTCTCTCATGGTGTACATCTGGAGGAGCCAATGCTCTCTAGAAAACACACAATACAAGGGTCAACATTGACACAGTTCTAGATTGAGCAACTGCTGGCAATATGATGCAGTGTTAAAATTTTAGCTATTTTCAGAAGTAAAGGTATTTAAAACTACCTGCCAGAGTGAGTCAGCCAAACCTACTCTTCACATAGTGCAGAAAAAGTAACAATTACTGTTTCCAAACAAAGGTAAATAGGTGTGAGGATGTTTGGTTCCAAACCTGTTCCTCTCACTCTCTTTAAGTTCACTAATCTTCACATGTTCCTGCCATGCTTACAACATATACCAGGTATTAAAAGTTCACTAGCAAAATTCTCAGGTTCTAGATTTTTTTAAGAAACAACTCCTAAAGGCTCTCATTACCCAGACAGCACCTCTCCTTCTCACAGGCAACACTTCATTCACAGTGTCTACAGCTCTACTGTTCCCTTGCTTCCCATCTCAAGATATTTCATATAATGTAAAATTTTCAACTATTTCACAAGTCCTTCTGTAAACACAAGACAAACCTCAGTACATGATAGTTGGAAAGATCTGTATGACTGTTACATCTTTAAAACATTTCCATTGAAAAGTCATTTCCTGACTCTAATGATTATCTACTATACCTCAACTCCTTCTGAGAAAATAAAGAAAGCAGTGAAGATCAAAAACAGCCCATTGACAAAGCCAGCCAGGACTTCCGCTCTAACATACCTAAAGAAGAACAAGGTAAACAGTGAATTGTGCTTCTTAAAATCCAAATGAATATATACATTTTAGAGCTTATACATATTATGTAATTTTAAGTGCCAACAAAGTCTTTTTATTTATAGAATAATTTATATAATAATGTTAACCAAATGAGAAATTTAATTTACTATGAATGATATTTAATAGAAAATGTCACAAAACATAGACTTCCAGAAAGCAAAAGGCCTCCTGATAGTAAGTGGGCATAGAAAGGTCTGTCACAGAAATGTAAATCTCAAGTCACCACCAAAGTAAATCTCTTTGTCTCAAGGGGAAAGGTCCAAACAAAGTAAGAGAAAATGTCTAGGAAATCTGTTTTAAATAAACTTATTTCTCCTTTTCTGAGAATTCATGCTTTGCTCATACTTTATAGCTATGAAGTCTTCAGGAAGCGGAGCTCTGATCTCAAGTGAGGCTAAAACATCCCTGCATCATGGCAGAGATGACTTGAGATTTATGTTTGTTATCTTTTCCTAAGACTAACATATTCAGCCTAAACTTGCATTTATCTATCTTTAGAATTAACTTTATCCTCACATCACTCCATGAAACCATTTTTAAATGCCCGTCCTTTCTCTCTGGGACCAAATGTTTTCTGCCTCCTACTTAGGTGAAGCACTGGGGAAAGATCTCACTGTTCTATATCGCTTGTTACAGCCATGGAAACAACTTTAACTTTATACTTTTACATAGCTAAGTGACAGTCAAAGTGTGTTCACACCAGCTAGTCCTTCATCAACACTACAAAGCATCAAAACTCCTCTTTCGGGTACTGTGTGGTGGCATTCACTTGCAAACCCTGCAGAGGCTGGGCCAGGAGGATTGTAAGGTCTAAGCCAAGTTAGACTATGTAAAGAGCCTATCTATCTTTACACCCCCTCAACCCTCCATTTTTTAAGACAGGGTTTCTCAGAGTAGCCCTGGCTGCCCTGGGACTCACTCTGTATATCAGGCTGACCTCTGCCTCCTGAGTGCTGAGATCAAAGGTGTACACCACCACCACCACCTGGCTTTGCTAGTTTTCTATATCAACTTCTAAATGTAATGTTCTACTGTAAAAACATTTTCCAAGTAAGGAGAGCATTTTCATTCTGACAGAAGACTGATGTATGTAGAGACCCTCTCAGGCTACCCTGGAACTCACTAAGGAGCTGCACCTGGGTTTGCAATGACCTCCAAGTTCTGGAAGTACAGCCCCATATGTACCAACCATTCCAGGTAGAACAAACTTGTCATGGGTCCTCTATCTAGTTATGTTTGAGTTCATACTATCAAGTTAATGTAACGTAATATGAATTTTACATTCCATTTTAAACAAATACAAGTAAATTAGATTCATGTATTATTCAGCAAAGTATGTACTTTTCTGGAGAAAAGATTACTAAATTCAAATAATATACAGCCAGTTTTCTATAATTTATACTAAAAGAGATTAATCTAATAAATCAGTAGGGTTATTGTTCAAACCAAAGAGCATTTTTATTCTCTCCCTCTAGTCCCATAGCTAATGCTTGACAGAAAGCATCTTATCCTTGGCTCACTAAATGTCAAGATCAAAGGTAAGCTAATTTCTAGGTTGGTAGGTATGTTTCATGTATTCTCAAAAAGTGCTGGATTAGCTTTAGTTTACTACTGCACCTGGGAGTAGGTTTAAAATGAAGAAGAAAGACTAGACAAATGATCATAGACGATTATGTTTCCCTGAACGGAGTAAGTCTTAGAGTTAAAGCGTGTAATTTGTGAAAGTAGATTGCCTAGGCAAGCATGTCTCTTGTGTGAATTCTTCAGCCAAGGCAAAATGAGGGCGCAAGGACACCCCAGACTGAAGAGGGGTGGGGCAGACAGGCTAAGGGGGTGGAAGAGGAGAGAGAGAGTGAGAGTCAGGAGAGATGAGCATGAGGGTATGGTGCATAAGCAAAGGTAACGGACAGACAGACAGACAGACAGACAGGAGGTGAAGAGCAGATGTGAGGAAGCCCCAAGGGAAGAGATGAAGCAGGGAGGAGCAGGGAAGGGATTAACATTATGACAAAGGTGGGAACGGATATTAATTCTCATCTCTGATAACAGAACTGTACTAAGAAATGGTCTGTGAACTCAAAACAGGAAAATCAGGAAGTTTAAATCAATAATAAAAAACCCATTGCTTCCCCAGTCAGTAGGGCAGGAAGCCAATTCTGCTCTAATCTGGATCATCAAAGGTCCTTGTATAGTAAGTGGCTGAGTATACAAATCAGAGATAAAATCAGCATATATAAGAGCAAAGCTAAAAAGACAAATAAACCATGTTATGAAATAATTTTAAGTAAATAACAGCAAATTATTCCTTTAGTAAAAGAAAAAAAAAAGATAGGTTTCATATGATTTTTCTTTATCAGGAAAAAAAAGGTTTATAAGGAAATCCTTATACAGCAACAATATACCCCCTTAAAATTCTTTTCGTAAAACTAAGGGTTTATTTGCCAAGCGAAAAAATAAGTTACATTATGGGGTCTGATCAGGTATTTTAAAAAACTATTTCTTTTATTTTGGGGATTATAGTATACTTCTTCTTCATCGCCCCCTTACCTTTTCTTCCTCCATATACTTTTAAAACAGGCAAATCTAATCCAGGAAGTTAGAAGGTAACCCTGAGGGAGGTGCACAGGAAGGACTATAAAAAGCCTGAGGCAGGTTTCAAGAGCTCAGATCACACAAATAAACTCAACTTGTAAAATCTCACAGCTTTTAGAGTTGTATATTTTTCTATGTATCTTAGTAGTTCAAGAAAAGTATTTTAAAGACTTACCCATAAGAGAAAGCGTCATTGTCTCTCCACTTGGAAATAACAGAAGCTGCCAAGCCGGCCAATATGGCAGTACTATCAAAAAACATGTGGAAAGAGTCGGAGATCAAGCCTAGGCTGAAAAAGAACAAATATAATGGTGCATTATAATACAAAGCAAACAGTAAACCTTTCTCCCTTAAAACTAAGGTTCATCCAGAATTATCTTTTAAGGCAGTATTGAAATACGACACACAGAAAGATCCTGTGTTACTAAAAGCTCAGCACTGCTGTGAACAGTAAAAAACAGCCATGTGCTGCATGCAGCAGCACAGGAATTGCTTACTGTCCAGTCACAAAGGTCAACGCTGCCTCAGTGGGGGAGGCCCTCATCCCAGGACAAGGAAGTCTGCTATCATTATTATTTTTAAAGATTTGTTTTACTTTCGGTGTATGACTACCTGTACGTATGTACATGTACCCCATGTGTGCCTGATGCTCATGTAGGTCAGAAGTGAGTGTTAGATCCCCAGATACAGAGATAGAGACAGTTGTGAGCTGCCATATGGATGCTGGTAACTGTACCTGGGTCTTTGCAAGAGTAGCCAGTGCTGTTAACACCAAGTCGTCTCTTCAGCCCCACATCTGTTAGAACTGTCCACTCTCAGCTCTCACCCTGTGATGCCCGCTCTGTGCTACAATACAACTAGAAAAACCTTTCACCAGCTGTCAGAACCACAAGCTTAACAAACTTCTATCTTTTTCCTTAAGATTTATTTACTTATTATGTACACACCTGCATGTATGCCTGCACACCTGAAGAAAGTACCAGATCTTATTATAGATGGTTATGAACCACCATGTGGTTGCTGGGAATTGAACTCAGGACCTCTGGAAGAGCAAACAGTGCTCTTAACCTCTGAGCCATCTCTCCAGCACCAACACTCTATTCTTTATTAGAAAGAAAGAAAGAAAGAAAGAGAGAGAGAGAGAGAGAGAGAGAGAGAGAGAGAGAAAGAGAGAGAGAGAAAGAGAGAGAGAAAGGAAGAAAGAAAGAAAGAAAGGAAGGAAGGAAGGAAGGAAGGAAGGAAGGAAGGAAGGAAGGGAGAAAAAACGAACTCTGACACTCAATGAACCTGAACTGCCTGAGTCTAAAGCTCCAGTAGAACTCACACCATGTCTTTGGAAAAACATGTGATATGGCAATAGAAATCTACCAAGACCACAGAGAGACCTGGCTGTGGTACAGGCACAAACTTGTGGAAAGCTGAGAACAGATCAAATAACATGATCAATTATATGATTAGAGGCTGGAGAGATATGATCAAGTATCTAATACTCTAATACTCTAAATTTTATACCAAGAACAGGTCTGTAGGAGCCACAAGAAAACTAAACTGTCACTTACTAAAATTCATCATCAAAAACAAATCCCCATACTCAAACCACAGTTACTTAAAACTACAGTTAATGGTCAGGAAGGTAAACAGGTGGGCCATTTCTGTACATGGTAACTATAAACTTCAGGCTTTATTTTAAATATAATACTCAATATGTAATAACTATTTGTGACCTAAAATAAGCATTATGTGAAATACTTAAAAGGATAAGAGAGGAGAAGATGGGGAGTACTATCAAAACCTCAGTCAAGAACTAAGGCAAACAACAGGATCAGAACAAGAAATGGCCCAGATGTTAGAACTGTCAGAAAGAATAGAGACTGGAGAGACTGCTCAGCAGTTAAAAAACATCAGACTAAGGTCTTAGCACCCACAGGGGCTCACAACTACCTGTAATTCCAGCTCCAGGGGATCCACCATTCTCTTCTGGACTGTGTGCACCAGGTATGCATTGGTGCACAGACAAAGCACAAATACAAATACAAAAATAATGACTATGTTAAAGAATATGGTGTCGAGCTATAAAACATTCATGAACAAAGGGAAATTTCCATAGTCAGAAACTTTACATGAAGGAATGAGATGAAGTAGCTGAGAATTACCCAAAATTCCTGAAAGGAAGTGAATCATAATCCAGGATAGTTAGTGAAGACCATGGGAGAGGAGTATCACTAAGTTGATAGAAAGGGAAAAATGATAAGTCATAGATTATTCTTACTGGAAATGATCCAAGTCAGAACATAATATGGCAACATGTTCAAAGACAGAAGAAAGAAGTTTGGCTTACTTCTATCTTTAAGGACAACTGAGATATTTTGGTTTTAAATGGGAAAAATTATCAAAACCAAATGTTTATTCATTGACAAGATCAAGGAAATTGGCAACCTTTAAGTCAACTGATCCATGAAAAAGAGGCAAGCCCCAGGAGTGGGTAAGCCTGTAATCCCAAATCACAGAAGTTGAGGGAGCAGTTGAGGCTGGGCTACACAGTGAGTCTTTATCAAAAACCAATGACAACAGAAACATTCTAACCACTAAAAATCAACAATATGAAGAGATATTGTTGACTTTACAGAACTGAAAGGAATAATAAGGAAAGACTATGAACTATATGTCAACAAACTATCTAAAATCAAGTTCTGAGAGGCGACAAATGTCATAAATCTATCTGAAAGTTAATCTGAACCCTAAGGTAAGAAAAGCCTAACTTAGTTATTGTAAAGCTGACAGAAACAACTACCAACAAAATGCCCCATGATGGCCTCCTTAAGTCACAAGCATTTTAAAAACATAACTAATCTTTCACAAACACCTGGAATAAACAGAAGAGAATACTTCCCTAGGATAAGACCAGTGTTAGTTTAAGACCAAAACCAGATGAGAAAGAAACTGTACCAGTACCTCTTATGAATATGAATGCAAAAACCCTCAACAAGACACTAGGAGGCAGATCCAATAATGCAACTCAAGAGTAAACATATCCTGACCAACTGTGACTAAATTCAAGAACTCATGGATGCTTTAATACATGAAAATCAATCAATGTATCATATGAATAAAGGACAAAAACTTCAGACAAAAGACATTGCATAAAATGTAACATGCCTGGTGATTGAAATATACAACAAATTTAAAATACAAAGAATTCGTTTAACTTTCTGTATGACAGCTACAAAAATACAAAGCTGATATCATCATTAAATGGTAAAATTCATTTACTAATTAATTAATAGTGAAAAGCTGTTTTCCCCAAAGATCAGAAACATGACAACAATGTCCCTTTTCATTTTTTATCTATTATTTTACTGGAGAATCTAAACAGAGCAATAGGTAGAAAATAAAATCAAATTCCTCAGAGTAGAAAAAAGAAATAAATTACATATACTTATAGATGCAATATAAAATATTAAATATTAAAGAATATACAGAAAGCCTTGCCTGAATTAATGTAATTTTACAGGATAAACATAATCAATATCAAAATAATTTTCAATCCTACATGGTAACAAAGAACAAAAATTAAATTAAAAATTTTCCATTTACAACAGCACTCAAAAGAAAAATTAACATTTTTAAGGATAAATTTAACAAATGCTAAAACTTATACTCTGAAAACTATAAAATATTGATGAAATTAAAGATTACCTAAATAAATGGGAAAACTTTCGTGTTTATATATGCAAAAGGCTCATTTTTAGTATTTGTGACTGAATTAATGCTTCAGACACACTAAATATATGCTCTCCCACTGAGCTGCACCCTACACCTACAAAACAGTACTCTTTAACCTTCATTTTAGAACTAAGCAAAGCTTCTTGAAGGTGTGAGGCACTTTTGTTCAGGAACAGTGCTAATCTCCACCATTTCAATCTCTGTACATGTGACGCATCAGCGAGAACTCAGAGAACAATACTTCCCCAAATGAGCTACATTTTCAATTTATTACCTAGTGAGAGAGTGTCAAGCCAATCTTAACATTCACATTAAGAAGAATAGGGGCTGGAGAGGTGGCTCAGCAGTTAGAACTATCTGTTGTTCTCCCAGAGGCATCGGGTTCAGTTCCCAGCACCCATGTGGTGGCTCATAAACAGCCATAACTCCAGTTCTAGGGGATTTGACACCTTCTTTTGACTCCACCAGGCAAGCACAAGGTACACATAAATACACATATACTGGCAAAACATTCATACGCATAAAAAAATGAACCTAAATTTTTTCATTAATTTATTTATTCATTTTACATCATGATCACAGTCCCTTCCCTCCTCTCCTCCCACCCACTTCCTCCATTTCCTCTTCCCCTTCTCCTCAGAGAACGAGAACTGCCCCCCCCCAGCTCCCACCCAGGTACCAACCCTCCCCAACACATCAAATCATATCATGACTAAGTGCATCCTCTCCCACTAAGGTCAGATAAGGTAGCCCAGCTAGGGGAAAGGATCCAAAGGCAGGTAAACAGAATCAGAGTCAGACACAGCCCCGCTCGAATTGTTAGGGGAGCCACATGAAGACCAAGCCGTACATCTGCTATATATGTGTAGGGAGCCTAGGCCCAAGACCAGGCATGTTTTTAGATTAACCTAAAAAAAGTTTCATTCATATAAAAAAAGAAATGGTCCTATACAAAACAATAGTATTCTTGAATAAGAGGACCAAAAAGGAAGGGCTTCTATTTTTCAATTTCAAAAGCTCAGAGCTACATTAATCAAAACAGTGGGGTGGGGGCTGGCATAAAGGCAAACAGAGATCAACTAAACCAAATCGAAGGCTCAGAAATAACCACCACATAACCAGAAGATCAATGTGAAGTGGAAATTTCTAGTTTCTTTGGAGACTCAGTTGTGTCATGTGATGTTCTGGAAACTGTCTTATGAGACACAGTCTTATGTTTTGCTGAGAACAGACACATGTTTTTTTCTGACAGCTGCCTGGAAAAGAGGCATGGGTATTTTGCTGGATTGGAAGCTCGAGAGGCTATGTGATGCTTGGAAAGGGTTTAACAACAGACAGTGAAGGATGCTGTGGCACTGGTTCACCTTGCCACTCTTTGCTGGTCTTCGTTGGATTCTGCTGATGCTGGTCTTCACTGACAACGCTCTGGCATTGATATGCCATGCCTTCTTTGCTGATCATTGCTTCTCCTGATTTTGTAGACTGAAACACACCAAAGAACTTCTTGTGATAGTCCAGCAGCCTTTGGCTGCTTCTGCGACTAAAGATGATTCACAGAGCCTCAGT